TCGTGTGTTTTTCGTCTAGTCGAAGACGGGGAAGTAGTGTTGATCCTAGTAGTACACGTAGACGATATCTTTGCAGTGGGGACGAAGGAGAGGTGTGATCAGTTTGGAAAGGACCTGGGAGAGTACGTACCGGTGAAGTCTCTGGGGGAGTTGCAGTGGTACTCTGGTTGCTATTACGAGAGAGACAGAGAGGCAGGTAGATTGACGATTTCGCAGGAGACATACACCAAGGAGTTGGGAGAGAGATATGGTGTCGAGTGGGGCGGAGGCATTCCTTTGCCCACGACTTGGAGACTTTGGGACTCTGACGTGAATGAGCCGAGCGTAGAGTACCCATTTCGCGCGCTAATTGGTTCGTTGCTATGGGTAGCTTTGTTGACTAGGCCGGATATCGCGAATGCAGTGAGGGCAGTGGCGAGGTACTGTAGTGAACCCAAGTTGATACACTGGAGGGCTGCACTTGGCATCTTAGGATATGCAGTTAGGACTAGTTCTTTCGGGATTTCTTTTCAGAGGGGGACGGTTTCAGGATTTTCTTTGATCACGTTCGCCGACGCGGACTACGCCTCGCGTGCGGCGGATCGCAGGTCGGTTTCAGGGGGAGTGGTAATGTGTGCAGGGGGAGCGATCGCATGGTTTTCCAAGACTCAGAAGTGTGTGACTTTGTCCACCACGCAGGCAGAGTACGTGGCGATGGCGGATATGGGGAAGGAAATTCTTTTTCTGAGGCAGGTTTGGCGCTTTATGTTGCCGAAGGAGTTGCGGCCGTGCATTCCACTGTACGAGGATAATGAGGGTGCTATCCAGATCGCAAAACACCCGATCTCGAATTCCAACTCGAAGCACATCGACGTGCGGCATCACTTCCTCAGACAACTGGTAGATGAGAAGGAGGTAGAGATCATTCATGTAGCGTCGCAGTATCAGCATGCTGACTTCCTCACGAAGGCGCTACCTGAGAGGGATTTTGTGTTCCACAGGGACTACGTGATGAACTTGATGTGAGCAGTCCCTGAATTTTTTTGTGTTTTTGTTTATGTGATTCTTTCGATTTGAGTTTCTTCTGAGGAGTTGGTANGTTATGTTGCCGAAGGAGTTGCGACCGTGTATTCCACTGTACGAGGATAATGAGGGTGCTATCCAGATCGCAAAACACCCGATCTCGAATTCCAACTCGAAGCACATCGACGTGCGGCATCACTTCCTCAGACAACTGGTAGATGAGAAGGAGGTAGAGATCATTCATGTAGCGTCGCAGTATCAGCATGCTGACTTCCTCACGAAGGCGCTACCTGAGAGGGATTTTGTGTTCCACAGGGACTACGTGATGAATTTGAAGTGAGAAGTCCCGGGGTCTTTTGTATTGTGTTTTTTATTGTTTGTGTGATTCTTTCGATTTGAGTTTCTTCTAAGGAGCTGATTTTCTACGAGTTTGGATTCAAGAATGACAGATGGATTTTCTCCAAGTGTTTCTGGCTTAATGGTTGGGAATGATCTCTAGCCGATTGAAATTCTAAGTGAGCAATCCCGGAGTTTCGTTTTTTTTTTTTTGCTTTAATGTGATTCTTTTGAATTGATTCTTCTGAGGATTTGTTTTTTCTGCGAGGTTGCATTCAAGATTGACCGATGGATTTTCTCTGAGTGTTTCTGGTTTAATGGTTGGGAGTAGTTTCGAACCGTTTGGAATTCTTATGAGTATTGTTTCTGGTTTAATGGTCATGGTGTTTTGGCAAAGACGAAGGATGAAAGGAATGGAATGTTGATCACTAATCTATGATCTCAGGTATTTGATATGAGAGGGCATACATGCTAAGGTAGTTGTATGAGTCCGGGTACAATCTTGCCAATGCAGCGAGTAGGGGGGCTGTTGGATGTACTCACAGCATGACAGATTATTTCGAGTCAGAACTTTCCGAACAGATGGAGCGGGGAGATCCGGGGGTTCAACAGTTGGTATGGATTAGATTTGGTGGTACCAAATTTACCACATATTGCATGATTGAGGGTATGGGTGTCTACAGCGGAATTGTGTGCGTGGCTTGTGGTTTCTCACTTCCTTTTTCTTGTATAATCAAGTCCCTTTTTATCCGGCTCTCTCGCCACCCACCGGCTTCCACGCCACTACTACTCCTGCTATCACGCCAACCCGACTTCCACGCATTCAGGACTTCCGCGTCCCTACATATACCTTTACATCAGGGCTTCGACCCCACCTGGCTTCCACGTCACATCTATAATATACCCGAGCTTCTACATCACTCGGACCATCGCCAGCGTCGCCCGCGCCCGACTCCTGGGGCGCGGCCGG